TATATATATATATATATAGTGACACGGTGCACAGGTCATCAAAAAAAGAGATGTTGTTGCAAGGGGAATGTGAAGTTAATGAGTTTAAAACATTAAATACTTTTTTATGGAATACTGCAATAATAAAATACTGCAGTATTCCATAAAAAAAGAAGAAGAAATGTGCATTGTGATTTCATGGTGACTTTTAAGCCAAATGGCTAGGTCTGGCAAAAGCAAGGGAAGTCAGTAATGACACAAACACATGGGCAGTTGAGTAAACATCCTGCTTGTTTGGTCGATGCAATAGGTGTTACATTTCCATCGGTGGTGCTATTGAAAATGGAGATAAATTCAGTAACAAAGCAACAACTGCCGTACTCACATGCAAGTTGTAGTGAGTGTGACTGACAGCAGCACCTGGGGTTTATAGTAGAGGTGACTGGGGTGAGGGCCTCAGGGGGCCAGTTCCACAGCGCTCATTTGAAACCTTTGGTCCCCCATGGTCTGTTTTCCCAGAATGCCCTGTAGAAGCTCTAACCTCTCGGGCTCCGAGTGTGTTTACTCTGAGTTAATGAATGAGCTAGTGTTGGAGTGAAAGTGGTTGAGTAAATGCTAATCGCATCGCTTTCCCCCAAAATAAAGCCTCCAGTTCGCCCCTTTCCTGTTTGCTTTTATTCCCCTTTAGTTCAATCACCAGTAATCATGCTTTTAAAAGCTACTCAGAGACAAACCACACATCGGGAATGAAATGCTCAACTAGTGCTGCCAGAATAACACGAGAGGGGGAGGTTTAGTGTGCGAGGAGCGTAAAGCCAAAGTTGAGGTGTCATTTGTGATCTCAATTGAGTAAACGCACACAAATGGTACGAGTGAAGAAATCAAGAGAGAGAGAGAGACAGGAGGGGCCGTCCTTACTTGCTCTTCTAAGCAGGAGTGAGAGGAGGTCCAGAGGGAGGAGGCACACGGGGAGAGCAGGATTGAGAAAGAGAGTGAGGAAAAGAAGTGGCGCTCTGTTTGCGGAGCAGTCTGGGACCATGCTGTCAAGTAGCTCTCTGATCTGGATTGGGGCGCTGCTTCTGGGGCTTGAGGCTTCGCTGACCAGGGCATCTGATTTCCAGCACCATGCTTATGAGGAGATGGTGAGGGCTCTTTTTGCCGTCCAAAGCGATTGCCCCTACATCACTCGCATCTACAGCATCGGTCGCAGCATAGAGGGACGGCACCTATATGTCCTGGAGTTCAGTGATAATCCTGGCATCCATGAAGCATGTGAGTCTTTTCTTTACTCTTGTACCAAGGCATTCAATTCCTCATGCATGTAGCTCAAGCAAACTCAGGCATGTTTGAAAAATGTCCCTACTGAAGCTGTAGGGCTGCCAGAGCTGATTGGTGAAGTAATAATTTGGGTTTGATTGCATAATTTGGGCTGTTTTCTGAGAACAGCACTCAACAGAATTGTTAAAATAAAGCTTTGACTGGTTATTCACTGGGTTGTCTGGCCAGCCAATGTTGACCATCAACTTGATTTATCTTGTTGCTCCTCAAACACTCACATACGATAAATTGCATCTAGGAATGGACAGTAATGGGTTTAAGGGGGAGTACATGCCTGGAGATGTGGTGAGTGTTATATGTAACTGTTGCAGGCAGGAGCTATACTCTTAAAAATAAAGGTGCTTCAAACGGTTCTTCAAGCGATGCCATAGAAGAACCACAAAGAACCATTCAGTGAAAGGTTCTTTAAAGAACCATCTCTTTCTTACCTTTTTATAATCTGAAGAACCGTCTTTCGCCACAAAGAAGCTTTTGTGAAACAGAAAGGTTCTTCAGATGTTAAAGGTTCTTTATGGAACCATTTAGACAAAAAGGTTCTTCTATGGCATCGTGAAGCACCTTTATTTTTAAGAGTGTAACATCAGTCTTATCTTTGATCTGAAGCAAGAACTTTCCCACAGGATAGAAAAATCTGACTCTTTAATAGCTCAATTGTTTCTCCTAGAATCAGAGAGCAAATGGACACTTCTGCTTCTCATTGATGATTCTATTGTGAACAAGACCTCATTAATCTTGCATGTGTCTCTTCTAGATTTCCTGAAGAGAAAAATCTCTCAAACTGTTCTCATATTCACCAAAGTTTGGAATCAAAAGTTTGAAATCTCAACATAAACTTAAACATTTCTCATCAAACTATCGAAGAAACCAGACTATCTGTAGGCTATGCTATCCACATTAATTTTGTATGTCAACAGTTGGCTTTATTTTCATGAAAGATATCTCAGAACTCCAATATATCTTACGAGATGCAAAAAAAGCAACTGCTGCAGTAAAATTTTCCTTTTTGTTTCAGTCTTTAGACCTTGTTTCTTTGTTCACTCAAATTCAAAACACATTCCGCTCTCAGCTACTGGAAGTAGTTAAGATCCATCAACAAAAGGAGTTAATAAATCAGCTTACGAAAGCAAATTAATCTTTACCATCAGATGTAAAGATCTGCTTCTCTTGGCAACATGCGTACAAAGGTAAAACCTCTGAGAGAATTGCAGGATGTATACATGTTCCTGATGGAGTACAAAAACAGGAACCGGTACAGCAGAGTGGGCAAAGTTGTTGTGATCTGACCCTTTAGATTCCAAAAAGTGTTTGCACTTCATGTGTTAATGTCGAGGTCACTCGTTTAGTGACTCTTTGAGCAGAGGCACAGCATTGATAATTGAATTATTTGATGATTAATGGGAAGACCATGATGAGTCTGCCTGCACACAGTGGCTAATTAGATCTGCGATATCGCCGTCACTCACTTCCGCATCAAAAAAGAACAAACGGAAATCTGCTGGTACTTGTTAGAAGAGATAATTGTGAATAATGTGCTGACAACTGGCTGTGAGACAGGAATTTCGATGAGAGTGGCCTGCTGCGCTGTTAAACACTCAGAAAGCTTTTGTAGGAGGAACATTATGAATTTGAATTCATTCATATTTGAAACTAGCATTTATGGTGTCATCTTACTCAAACGCACGCCACAGATGCACATTGTAGAGCTATTTCATTTGTTTTAAAGAGATAGATCATCTAAAAAAAGAAAATTCTGTCATAATTTACTCAATCTCATGCCGTTCCATAATGTTCTGTGAATAAATATTTTCTGTTCCTCATATAAAAGTCTTATATGTCTTAAAAAGACAAAAGAATGTAATGTATAAGTTGTATGAACTACTTTTATATAGTGCTTTCTGGAGACCATATCTCCACTTGCTTTCATTGTTTTAAAAATGTACAGTTTCTCCTGTTGGAATGAAACCGAGAAGTTATGACAAAATCTGTTTAAATATTTAGTAGGCAATTCTTGTATTACTTTAGTGCAATTTATGTGGTTGCATCTTCTGAACTGCTTCATCTGCATGCATAGATTTTGTTTTTGCATGCTATTCTTGGATGTGACCCCCATGACCTCATGACTTCCCGACTGGTGGTGACCTGACCTGTGTTTTTCAGTGGAGCCTGAGTTCAAGTACGTAGGGAACATGCATGGGAATGAGGTGCTCGGCAGGGAGCTGCTCATCAACTTAGCCCAGTTCTTGTGCGAGGAATACCGGGCAGGAAACGAGCGAATCACGCACCTCATCCACGACACACGGATCCACATCCTTCCTTCGATGAACCCAGATGGATATGAGGTTGCAGCCAGGCAGGTATACAGCGCTTCGTAATTAATCTACATTGTAAAACAAGTTCTCTAATGCATTCTCTAAATGCATGACCAACTGTGTGAACGCGACCATGCATATGTATATACTTATTTATTCAGTGTGGCAGCTGTGGCGTGGGAGTGTTGTAAGTCTCTAGTGGCCCCCAGTTTGTTATGAAGGAATCAGCCATATCCCAGAGTGCATTGCTCGCTTTCTTTTGAGACTAATTATACCATAAGAGCTCACAAAGTATTTTTTTTCTTGAACAAAGCATCCATACACATACTGTACAACGTTCACACATCTAGAATGCAAAATTACAGTAATACAGACTCCTCCTTGATCTTCGAGACTAATTATATGTCCAGCAGTAAATGGTGGCTGAATGTGGCCACACACACCCAGTTATCAAGCGTCTCACTGGACCAGACATGAACTAACAGAGAAAACCACCTCAGTATCACACAGGATTTATTTAACATGCTCTAACTCGCTTACACAATACACACAAGCACAATAAACCACTTGAGGTATCAAGGAAGTTTCACTCCTGACATACTGAGAATGTTCAAAGGTGATATCCTTCCCCAAAGGTTACTTAAAAGATGGGAAATTATTTGCTCTTTTCTCTGATTTACAGGGTCCAGAGTTCAACGGCTACTTAGTGGGACGTGGAAACTCAAAGGAGATGGACCTGAACCGCAACTTCCCAGATCTGAATGCTCTTATGTTCTACTATGAGAAGCACAATGGCCAAAACCACCACCTGCCACTACCAGACAACTGGGAACTACAGGTGAGCATCAAGTGTCACATACACTGCTGTAGGAGAGGAGACACTGTCTGTTCAGAATGGAATGAGTGGGAGGGGTCAGCCAAGCAATTAGTTATGCAACTTGTGTAGTGATATGAAAGTGCGGAAAGATGTTTAGACAATATGATACACTTTGCAAGGGTTACGATAACACAGAATGTTTGTATATATTAAAGGTCATATGCTAACCATTTATGTACACTACTGGCCAAAAGTTTGGGGTCAGTATGTTTTTTTGTTTTTTAATTAAGTAGAAAATCTATATTTTTTAAAAACTTTAAAAAAAAGAAATGAATACTTTTATTCAGCAAGAATTGACAAAAAAATACAGATAATGTCACAAAAGGTTTCTTCGTCAAATAAATGCTGAACTACAGGTGAGCATCAAGTGTCACATACACTGCTGTAGGAGAGGAGACACTGTCTGTTCAGAATGGAATGAGTGGGAGGGGTCAGCCAAGCAATTAGTTATGCAACTTGTGTAGTGATATGAAAGTGCGGAAAGATGTTTAGACAATATGATACACTTTGCAAGGGTTACGATAACACAGAATGTTTGTATATATTAAAGGTCATATGCTAACCATTTATGTACACTACTGGACAAAAGTTTGGGGTCAGTATGTTTTTTTGTTTTTTAATTAAGTAGAAAATCTATATTTTTTAAAAACTTAAAAAAAAAGAAATGAATACTTTTATTCAGCAAGAATTGACAAAAAAATACAGATAATGTCACAAAAGGTTTCTACGTCAAATAAATGCTGTTTTTTTTAATGATGTTCTATTAATCAAAGAATCCTGGAAAAAAATGTTTCATAGTTTTCACAAAAGCAGCACAACTTAAGTTTTCAACTTAATACTAAAACCGAATGAATTCATAAGATGATTCTTTTTTAGTAGTGAATGAATCACATTACTTTTATGAACCAGTTCTTTTTAGGGAATCAAAAACACAAATAACAACCAGTTTAGTCTGATTCCCAAAATGTATAAAAGGTTCTTTTGAAACCATCTCATCATTTGGCAATATTAATTATGTCTATTTCTATACTGTTCAATCAAAATATAGGCACAAAAAAACACATTTTACTTAAAAATAAAAATAAAGAATCTTTATTGGAGCTGAAATCTAGGCAAAATCGATATTGTTACATTATTTCCTTGGGAAATTCCCTATTATCAGACTGATTTTGGAGAAAAATCTGTGGAATGACACTAAGAAAAAAGGATAAAAATCTCAAATTATCCAAAATATTTAATAAGTAAAAAAACAAGTAATGAGGAATGTCTAGAACTTTGTGAAAAACTGGGAATGAATCCCAGATTAAGTTATCTGTGGCTCGTTCTGCCCATGACATTGGTGTTTCTAACATCACGTTCTACCAGTGGAGCTACAGGAACTTTCTGTATACTGTATGTTTTCATGGGGTGACTTTTTTACTGCCCTAACAATATACATGCACACAGAAAGTCACTGTTCCATTCTGAAGTAAAATACAGGATAAAGCCAGTATCCTGCATTGTGAAGAAAAATGTTTTTGTTTTTACAGTTGGACAGCACAATTAAGCTCTCCATTAGTCTGTCAGTAACCCACCCAGCTCTCGTTCTGCTATCTATCAACCACCAAAAGGCCCACCTTTCACAAAATAGAGAGCCTTGGCCTGTGTAAATGGACTTTTATGCCTGTACTACTGTTAGTCTTCATGAGCTCTGAATATTTTGGTTACCCCTTCACAACTTAACATAAGAGTAACACAAGAGTAACATAAAGTCAGTCCTATCTGTGAGGATCCATGCTATCCATCATGATTTAAGAATGTTACAAAGAAAATCTTGTGGTTCAGTGAAAGCAGGAACATCTGACCTTGAGTACAAATTAGTTCACAAATATGCTTATTTGAAATTGGCAGAGAAATAGTACAGAAAATTAAATATTCTTTTGATTTTATGTAATAAAATGAAATTATTGCCAGACTTTTGGAGCGCGTCAGAATAATACAATTTAAACAGCTCTTTCCAGGAACAACTCTTTGTTTTCCTCAGTCTAAAATGAGAACTCCAGCTTTGGAGAAGTATGTATGTCTACTGGCAGCCAGACATCCCTCAGGACAACAACAGAAGAACTGCAGTCAGTGGAGTATGACACGTTCCAATCATTTCTCTGTGAGTTGTCACTCTCACATCAAACCCTGCTCGTGACCCTCTGACCCCAGCGTGGGCTTCGCACTACACAGAGCTAAGCAGGGCGAAAAACATCTGTGTGAGTTCACAGCATGAAACCCGACTCTTCAGTGACAGCTGAGGTCATAGGGACCCTTGGATGTTTATATATACAGATGCATGCATAATAAATACAGCGTCTCCTCAAAACAGAGCACGAACGGGATCAATACCCAGCAGCCATCTCCAAGGAGCAGGCCAGACTGATCTCACTGAATACAACAGGGCCAGGTGGCGGTTTATTATCCCTTCACCTCTTGTGGGACACATTACCACATGTCATATTTCTCAGATAACAGAGCTGGAGGAATATTCCAGAAAGGCCGTAGGAACGCTGTCGGAGTGTCATGGCACAAAAACTTAAAACAAAGCCTGAAATAATGCACACAGCATGCGTGCTTTCTGATCGGAAAGTTTTTTTTTCCCCTGTATTCTTGGTTCTTGCAGGTTGAGCCAGAGACTTTAGCGGTGATAAAATGGATGCAGAATTACAACTTTGTTCTGTCGGCTAACCTCCACGGTGGAGCTGTAGTCGCCAACTACCCCTTTGATAAGTCTCGTGAGCCCCGAATAAGAGGCAAAACGACATACTCGGCTACCCCTGATGATAAAATATTCAAAAAGGTATGTTGTTTTTTATTGTAATGTTCAGTGTATAATTTTCTACTTTTCTAAAAAGTTTCATGTCCAGAAGCAATTAGCAAAAGTAAGCCATTTTTGTTTATTTCCCTGAACATGTGTAATCACTGTGATTCTGAGGCACTATCAAACCATTACAGAGGCAACACAGACTCAACCAATGGTGTGTTTTTTGGGGCGGGGCTTATTTGTTAGTTTGACCAATGGCAGATGTGGGGAGTGTTTGTGAAACCTGTTTGAAAGCAGTCATTATTTTTGCAATTCCGTTTTGTGATGCTTGCTCCAAAAAAAACACACACAAAAAAAAGATTTGCTTAAAGGGGTCCTATTATGCTCTTTCACAAAGTCTTGATTTTGTTTTGGGGGTGTACTAGAACATGCTCTCATGCTTGGTGGTTCGAAAAACTCATTATTTTTCACATAATTTACATTATTAAAATACCTTTCTCCCCAGCCTGGCACAAACGGCTCGATTAGTTCCGGCTTTGATGAAGGTCCGCCTTCCGAAAAAACAAAATGTGTTGGGAATGGTTAGCTGTCCCAGTGCGTTGTGATTGGCGAACAGCTTAGACGGTGTTTCAGTACTGCCACGCCCCTTGCTCCATCCTTCAACAAAAGCTTTTGGCGAATCCGGCAGGCACTATACTCCCTCGTGTTGTGGAAGCTGTTCTCAGTAAAATGCGCAGCACACAATAGCAAATTGGGGTTATAATGCTCAGGAACAGAGTTAAAAAATAAATTGCAACCACTGTTTCCTGACATCATCCGCTTTCTAAAGCCCAAACAAAGACGTTTGGGCATGGAGGTGAAAAAAACTGCGTCGCACCACGTCTTTAAAATTAGAATACATTATTTTCAGCCCAAACAAAGACGTTTGGGCATGGAGGTGAAAAAAACAGCGTCGCACCACGTCTTTAAAATTAGAATACATTATTTTTTATGAGTGTAGGCACACTGGCGGGGCCGTTCGGCGTCTATCCGTGGCACCCAGCTACGTCGTGTTGTACTTGTAAGAATTGTTCTAGACATGCCGCAAATTTTACGCTACAGCACAGCAGCTGCTCTTCTTCTTGGTTTTCTCTGATGCACTAACTCTGCAGCAGCACTTCTTCTTCGTCGTCTCGTCTGATGCACTCACTCAACCAAGCGTTCTAACCACAACCTCGCCCCTCCCCACCCCCCAACCATTCGAATTTCTGTAGGCAGGAATTATTTTTAATGATATTCTAATGAGCCGCTTTGTGATATCACAAAGCCCTGAAACCAACGCTGTAGTCCAAATGAGCCGTTCGTTGTAGTTCTTGAAAAGGGAGTTTTTAAAAACGAAATATCTCCCTTTGGAGTGGACTTTGAGATTTGTAACTTTCTAGATCTTTTTTTATGCCCACACATACACACTACACACTGACTAAAAGTGAAAAAGCATAATAGGACCCCTTTAAGATGTCTGAAATGTGTCCAAAATCCCAGTAATACCATCCAAATGAGATCAATTTAGACTGACAACCCAGCACAGTAATTGCACAGAAATCACACACTTCAACTAATGAAGAATTGGCTGTTGTTGTCTTTTCACAATTCTCTAGTGAATATTTACAGATTTTTGTGTTTGTGCACTATGTGTGTGTAGTTGGCAAAGACATACTCCTATGCCCACAGCTGGATGCATAAGGGCTGGAACTGCGGTGATTACTTTGATGAAGGAATCACAAATGGAGCCAGCTGGTACTCTCTGTCTAAGGGTGGGTTATATTTTACATACCACAGCTCTCATTCAATTACTTCAACAAGGCTTGTGGTTTTGACTCATCTAGAAGCCTTGTAATTTAGTTGAAATTTGGGAATTACAAGCACTTTTATCTTAAAAGAAACAAGATTTTTTTCTGGTTTAGAGATTTTCACCAGTATGTGTGCCAGTCAGAAATTAACTTCTTGGGGCAATATTTAAATTGATTTTAAAATGAATCTTACATTTAAATTTATGAGGTCATATTACAAAACTTAAATGAAACTTAAAACTCTGACATGTGCATAAGAAAAAAATACAGCAGAAAATGGTCAAGCATGAGCATGTGAACAGTTTGCCGTGCACACACAAAGTTCTTGTTCATATTTTGTGCACACATGGAGGTTTTTCATAAGTGAAAGTTTTTTTTGAAAATATGAATTTAACTACATTTTTTCTAACAACATATAATGAAATGTTTGATCTAAAAAATAAGTAAAATATATATAAAAAATATTTTTTGTGCCATTTTTGACTCCGACCCTGGTTCATTTCTGACCCTTGCCAACACTGTGCTGTATGTAATACATTTTTAATGTGTGATTTAAGAATAATTATTGCTCCGTGTCTCTGAAGGGATGCAGGACTTCAACTACCTCCACACAAACTGCTTTGAGATTACTCTGGAGCTCAGCTGTGATAAGTTTCCTCCAGCGACAGCTCTAGCCAGTGAGTGGCTTGCCAACAGAGAGGCTCTGGTGTCCTACATGGAGCAAGTGAGGAACACCTCTTCTCACATTTGACTGTTTCACTGTTTTAGTCTCAGCTCTCTCTGCCTGTAATGAAACAAGTAGAAGTTCAAACTCCATTTCTGCTTTCAAAACATGTAGCAAATTGAGAGAGAGCTTTGCATTCAAAAGCAAGGAAAAAGGAGGCCAGTATTCTAGCAAACACAGGTAAGAAGGACAAATTGGTTCTCCATGGCACTAACAGGTAATGAACCTGTCCCTAGATACTTTTAATGTGAAATTGATATTGAGCTTCAGGGGTCTCGTTGTGAGTTCAAGTAACACTACACTGCTCGCCAGCACATTTAAAGTAATGGATGGAATCGGTTTACCACTCTGAGTGCAGTGCCTGGCTGTAACCGAAAGCTTAATTGACATATATCTGGACTGTCTCCTGTCCTCCAGGTGCACCATGGGATTAAAGGCATGGTCTATGATGAGAACAACAACCCAATTAGCAATGCCGTGATCTCTGTTGCAGGCATAAACCATGATATCACCAGCGGTGAGCATTGCTCTACATTTAAAAGCTGATTTTTAGTAAGTGCATGCTTGAATACTTCATTTAATGTATCTGATGCTGTTTCAGGAACGGATGGAGACTATTTCCGTCTGCTCTTGCCGGGTACCTACACAGTGACGGCTTCTGCACTAGGATACCAACCCTTTACCAGCATGGTAACAGTGGGACCGGCTGAAGCTGTACAGGTGATAAACAACATCCCAAATACACTATTCATTAGTGACTTTTTTCAATAATAGTCTAACATTTTTTTGTTCTTCTTTCCAGTTGCATTTCTATTTGAAAGTTCAACCAAAAGGGACAAACTTGAACATTAAAGGTTATCCCAACAAGAAAGGTTCATCAACGGCTAAAATTCCTCCGACCAACCTTGGCCCAAGATAAAGAGCAAGAACTCTTCCCTCGACATAGACAAAACAAGTCTTTGCTTTTTAAACTGATGAACAACCAAGGGAAACATGGACTCTCACTGTGACGAACCTCACTTTACTATATCATGTAGATTCTCTGTTGTTTGTAAATGCATAAACGTGTGTTTTTCATTGTGAAATCCATATTTTGCTCTCATGTTCTTGTGGAACTTAAATATATATGTATGTCTTATAGCGGCTTGGAACAGGAAAAAGTAATGTACTGTAAAAAAGGAAACAGATATATATATTTCTCTGTCTATGAGAAATTGATCAGATTAATGGAGACATTTAGATGGACTGTTACTGGGAATTATGTCTGAATATGATAAGAGATCGATCAGTATAAGATTAACTATCTCATGTGAATAATAATAAAATAAACATTTTATCATTTGAAAGATACTAAGATTGGTAATTTTATCTATTCTTTGGACAATTGTTGTTTTTAGGAAAAAACATGTTTAATGTGTAATGTAATGAGCATGTGTGAATTTTGTAAAACTGTATTGAAATTTTCAAGAAAGTATACGGTGTACACACTGTGATAAAAACAATTTTATCACATGGATATATTTTCTTATGATTTTTAAATGTCAATATGTGATGTTTGATTAAACAAGGCATATTTTAGTTTGCAATTTGCATGCAAAGTACAGATTTACTGAAATGATCCGTGGACATCCTAAACTCTTAATTTAAATTGAATACCATAAAGCAGTTCAGGTGAAGTTCTTTGCTGAAATTAAAACAGGAGTATGTAAGGCTGTATAGATAGTCATCTGCTAACTCGAGTACATACCAGTGTAAAAGTCACATAAAGGACATCAGCACTTTTTCTACAACCATGTGTGTAAAGTGCTGATGTGGTAGAGATAGATTTGAAGATCAAGAATCTCATTCTTATTAAATTCTCAACTGTAAGCATACTCATGTTTATTGCAGCTAAAGGAACACTAGGGGTCAGTGCTGTAGTGGTATAGTCAGGCCACTGCTATTACTCTGCTCAAAAGTGTTGAATATAACAGAAAACACAGTAACAAAAAGCAGCATGACATACATTAAGTAGAGCTAAAATTCCCTTTGATATATCCTACTCCAACTTTCCGTTTCAACACGAAAAACACCAAAATAAAGAAACTGTGCTCGCCAAAATTTTTCTTATAAAACCTGTAGCCTAAAAAAGTATACAAACTATAATTTAGTTTTTTTAATACCAGAAAATGCATTAACTATATAGTATTCAGTATGATCTTCTTGAATAGTACAAGAACATTCAAAGATAGACAGACTCAATAATATATAATAACTGATCATTCCATGTTTTCAATTCTGCAGTGAATGCATTTACTTTATAAAATAAACATTGCTAATATTTTCCTGTGTTCTGCCTGGTTATCAAACACAAACAGAATCACAATGCCCTCTGAATAACAGGAAAAATGGAAAATGTACTTCAGGAATGTTGTGCACGAGGACTAGAAGCCTCTGCAGCTGGAAAATATGAGCCATACTTAATCTCTCATAACTAAGAATAATGATGTTTGGAGAGCTGCGTTGTCAATGAGAGTGAAAATGAAGGAAGTTTTGTGTAAAAAGTGTGCCAAGAAAAATGATGATTCATACCAACTATAAGTGGCTTCCTTCAAATCAGAAGATCAACATTCTGTCATTTACAGTCCATGAATAAACTGTCCGAACAGTCATACAATGAAGTGACAGGATTTCATTGTAAATGAGAATGCTTCAGTGACACCAAGTTCATGAATAGATCAACAAGAATGAATGGCAAGTTTGGCAACAAAAAGCTCAAGCTCACATGGTCTTTCTCAATGAAAATGTCACAGTAGGAGAGGACAACAGAAGCTGTTCATGCTTCCAGGATATGACAGATCTGGCATTTTCTCATAGATGCCGTGGGCATGTTGTGTCAGAGTGGCTTACAACACAGAGCTGAATGCGACAATGGAACCCACACAGCAGCTGTTATTATCTGCCCTCACTCTAGTGGATGCCCACTTGGCTTCAGCTTTGTAACCGAATTTATAAGGGAATCTGAGTCAAGTGATCCTAGTCAGGTGACAGGAATTGGTGATGACTGGATTGTGCACAGAATAATGGGTGTGTTATTTACAGGTCAAGACTTGACGTAACAATTCTGCACTACCTTACAAACAAGGGCCCCACAGGCAGCTTCCTTTCATTGTTTCTGTATATAAGGAAGTCATGGCTATAATGCAGACACAGCAAAAAATAACCTTACTTCTGACAGCGCTTAATACATTATGTTTCCTTGTAACCATAATATTGACACTAGTCTACACAAAGCAATAAAGCTGTCTTTTCCACCAACTATCATCAAATGCAGAATATCTCAGAGAGCCTTGAAACCATAATCAGACAGTTTTAACCTCTGTAGCTGAACAGTAGACAATATAATGGTGTTTCTTCAACTTTGGGTACTTTTACATTCCAAGGATTGATTTTATTAAAACTGGTAAAACATTTTTCTTTTTGTTATATCATGTTTTTGTTAAGAAACGTTTTATTGCTACTTTTTACATGCTTTTTGTCACATACCCATGCCCCCAGACATGGATTGCCTAAACAAATATACATAAGCCATTTCAATATTTCTTTTGTGAAAATATTTTTCCCCAAACAAAAGTAATTTCCAATGCAACAAACAGTTTTGCCCTATTAGAGTTTTTCAAGTTAATAAAAGTATTTTTCAAGTGCGTTTGATGTAATTTTGTCGAATTATGCAAAGTTTAAACATTTTATTTATTTATTTAAATGTTTATTTAAAACATATGCTAAAATTTAATTTACCAAACACAATAAATAATTTGAGCTGTGGTAGATATAGCAAATGTTCATAACTTCCATAAAAATGACAGAATTCTCCTGAGGTGCATGCATGTCCACAAATGTTAGTGGACAAATTCTTAGTGTGAAAAGTGTGTTTTAAGTATTTTCGTTTATTTTCTAAAAGTCTACATGCCATGAGTGCCCAGAGATGAACAGACACTCATAATCTTTTGTTAAAAATTTAGTTAAAATTTTAAAAATCACACACAATTTTTAAAAATCACACACTAAGATCACATAATAATATGACATCCCGTTTGACTTCAGGTTGCCTTTATACGACGCAGACAGTGGAATAAAATATCAACAACGTTATCCGTTTGTTTCAGATTGGTACTAACGTTAGACTGTAATTTCACTGGATTATTTCCCTCGTTTGTAAACGCTGAAGAGTCAACATAAGCGTAATACCTTGTGTTATAGTTTAGTGGGAATTTCCTTCAGGCACGTTGAAGGCAGCCCTGCGCTCGGGGTTGGTGTCAGCAGAGGGAGGTGTGTTGATGTTGGTGTCAGCATGGAGGGAGGTGAAGATCAGCCTGCTGGGACTTCCATTGGGATGACAGCTGATCCCAACGTGGCGTAGATGACCGTCGGGATCGGATCAACTGCAACGTGTGAGCCAAGTAATGAAAGGCGGGAGAAACGCCTGTTGCCCTTATCTTACGTTTGATTTCTAAACAACATTGAACGATACAAAGCTAATGGCAGAAGGGAAACGCGCACGAGCGTCCACTGGATAGTGAAAGTTCTCTTGCTGTCAGTTTTTAGTTAACCTAAGCCTTTTCAGCAGCTCAGTCTAATCGCATTGAGGGCATTTGTGATCACACAGGTAAGTGGAATCTTGTATTTAATTCTGTATTTAGCTCGTGGGTAGCCTCGGCTACCGCGAGTGGTTCAGTTTTAACATTGTGTCTTCTGTTTGAATATGTTAGTGTTTTTTATTTACAAATATTTTAACTTTTTTTTTTTTCATAAATAGCGGTGCTGAGGGAATTTCGTGGCATGTATTTGTCCAGTGTCGTCTAGCATTTCTATCTGTTTACTTTTTCCTTCATAAAACACGATTATCCGCTTTTTAACATTGTGTCTTCTGTTTGAATATGTTAGTGTTTTTTATTTACAAATATTTTAACTTTTTTTTTTTCATAAATAGCGGTGCTGAGGGAATTTCGTGGCATGTATTTGTCCAGTGTCGTCTAGCATTTCTATCTGTTTACTTTTTCCTTCATAAAACACGATTATCCGCCAGTAGTGTGGATTCGATTCTTTTTAGTGATTCGAATCTTTTGAATTGATTCGTTCTGTGGCTCTTTCAACAGGTTACTGTATGTGTCAGGGAGTCTCTTTTGTAAGTTATAAGTGTCGTTAATGACCAAAAAGCTGAGCGTGATACACAAAATATTGAGTAGTTCAGTGAAGGGGGGCGTATTCCTTCAGGTGGTCCATCCAGTGAAATGCTTCAGTGAACTAAATATACAAAGAAAAAGCTTAAGATGTTTTGCTGGTATAAGATGATGGTTTCACAGCCTGGCCAGGCTGAAGGTAAGCTGGTTTCGTGCGTGTCTAAATGTTTGACAACCTGGTTTCCTGACCAGCTAAAGTAGCTCAAATCAGCAAACAGACCAACCGGAACAAACTTGGAGACCAGCAGACCATCTTAGACAATGATGGGTTTTTAAGCAGAGTTAGGTGTGCTTACATCTGCAGGAAAGCATGAATCATTTGTTCAGATATGGTGACTCTGTGGCAACTGTGGTAAAGCATAAATATTCATATCAATCAAACTGAAAAGTAACCGCAAATATTTTATAGGACAACAAGCCAATTTGATTCTTGTCATCTGTCAGATGGCAACTGTTGTCAGTTGTCTCTCTTGCTGCAGGAGACTTTGAGACACTATTCATTCACCTAAATCAAACTATGTGTGCTATTCATCAGCTCAGAATACACTTGTATAGGTGTTGGGCAGCGTAACGGTGCTGTATTTACTCATAGAGATTAACGGAGTGCTCTTAATTGTCTGTTTTGTAATCCGATGTACTCAAACATTGTTGTGTTGTTTGTCATTCAGACATCACTGATACAGTTAGTACCTGTGCAACCGGTTTAGGCCTTTTTTCTTTGGAGCTTTCAGTAGATGTTGACATCCTGATGTTAACACTAACAGGACAAACCAGGCTACAAAACTAATAAAAAAACTTTAGCAAGTAGCCTAATTATTTTAAATTATTCAGAGTATTCTGCTGCCATTTTTTTCAGTTTCCTTGCCAGTGACTCCCTATGGGTCAGCATCATCAGATACAAAAATGATGTTTGAATTATTTATTATTGTAATGAGAAATAAGTGTTGACAGGCATCATT